AATATACAGGAGGAAATGGAGAAGACCCACCTGATTCGGTGTCTATCCCTAAAGACAACGACGTCTAAGAGAATCCAGGTTGTATCACTTTGTGAACTCATATGAATACCTTATCTCTTAAATGAGAATGACGTAACTAACGAATTACAAAATAATTTAAAATCCTATTTTTTCAATTAACCGAATAGTAGTCCATTTTAATTTACTAAATAGTTAACCCTCAGGATAATTGGACGTTACTTAAAGGATTCTTTTTCAGAACACTCATTAATAATCGTGTGCAATTCATCAAATAATTCATCAATTAAGTGGAGTAAGAGAGGAAAACAGGATATTGCCTCATACTTTAGAGGTATCACGTGTGGGTGCGTGAGGTGATGGAGGGTTATTAAAGCAAAGTTAACAAAATGGGGACTTGACTTAGGGCTATGGAGAGGATATGATCAGCTATTCCGATGGGCACACATTTGGCCTGTTGGAATAATAAACTGTCTCACCCTCCAACCCCCACCCCCCTCCCTCGTATCATCAGGTAACATTGCAACTCACATTTCTCAATGAATCATCTTAAGGTAAATGATAAAAGTCGTACCTGATTGCGAGTTCGGATCAGCTTTAACGGGATACAAGTTTAGTTATTAATTACTGTATTTCTTTGCAGAATTCTATTAAGCTCGAATATTCTCAATTAAATAGATGGAAAGTAGCTTTATGAAGAGAAAATTTCAAGGAGAATTACAAAATAGATTTAAACAAGGTGATCGAGCTGTTTGAATGTCTCTCAAGTACTGATCTGTTGATTATAATACTATTTATTCATATCTTCATAATGCAGATAATGAACAGTTACAAATAATGAAAAAATACAAGTTCTTCATTGGTTTTAATGAAGTAAAAGGTACTTTTTCCATTTTGATACCAATACTATGTTTCTGCACGGAGGCAATACATGCAGTTATTCCACTCATTTGGACCCAGGAAGAGAACTTTATTATTGAGCCAAATCGACTTTTTGCGACACGCTTGATCAAGTGGACTAAAAATGTACTTGATGCACTCATAAGTTCATCCGTCATGCAATGAACTATTGATTTTTTTGCGATGTACATAATTTAGGACAGCCAATGGAGACCAGTCTCTGCCGATATTAATCAATCCGTCCAGTCAATTTCTTTGCCCCATAGCTAATTCTAAGCAAACGATTTTATTCTCTCAATTGCAAATGATTGTTTGAGCTTCAAGTCTTCATCCTTCCTTTTGAAGATTAACAAACTAGATTGAAGGGATTCGAGCTATAAATTCGAATTAGTCACCTCTGAGGGAAAACGCATTCAATGCTCACCACAGGCGTTCCTCTAAGAAGGAGGATTCAATGACGATTAGAAAGGTGGCGAGAATCAGGTTTAGGAACATAATTTTATTAAGTTGGTTGCTACGTGGAAATTTTACTCACACAAAATATGAATTTAATGTCCCGCGAACAATTTGTGTTAACTCAGTCACTTGTTCTTTCAACTCATCACTTTCCTTGGTAAGTGTAATCCAGGTCCATTCAAAAGTTCAAAGTCATGTGACTTGAGGGATGTGTCAAAATAGTCCAGACAACCACGTTGAAACCTTACACTGGGGCCCAATTCATTATAAGATGCATTTTAACATTCATTTTCAACCGTTCACACTTTAATTTTGATCCATGAATGATTGTCAGTAGCCCAATTCCAATTGGAGGAGCATTTACCTCGATAAGTCGCAGCCTCGCCACATGACATAAAGCAAGAAGAGGGAAGTTTGATCGGTATCATGGAAAATGTGTTTATTGTGACCTTAGGGTCAACGACGTTCATGTGTTTATCTTACCAAATGATCTATCTGTAGGAATTGACCCGAGGCTAGGTCCATTCGAATTGCGACAATTTCAACACCCTTTCCCCCTATATTTACACTGTAAGAAATTCAACACCAACTTGTTGAGAATTTTCATTTTAAAATGAGTCATGAAATCGGCAACAAAATTGCTAAATGTGTGGAATGAGTAAGAAGTGAGTAATCGATGCTTTTTTTAAAAATCATCGATCACATAGACTATTTTTATATCTCATGATATACGTGGTGTTCTTGAATTTGAAGCCGATACTGTACGCTGTTAATCCATGTCCCTCCTCATTAATTAATTAGAGAACATAGAGAATATAGCTTATATCTCCAGAGCACTAGAAAGTGATACCATGTGCACTTAAATAAAAAAATCATCAGTGTACTGATTTTCCCTTTGTACAGGTATTATAAAATCAATTGGAGGATATGCAGTTAACAAGGGAATTAGATTTACTCGAGAATAACAGCTAAAATAAAGTACAATTAGGGAGCCTATTCTTGGTAGGGTCGCCAGATCTCGGGATGTGTTATTTTGGATTTTTTAACTGATGGAGAATCATGAGACCATGAAAAGGAAGAAGATGTGGAAGGATTAAACTGCTCAAGACCACTATCAGCACTTTCTCTTTTACGTCTTCGGGATTCAATTGGAGTTGAAGTAGTCTGGATGGAAGATAGATTGACAGAAACAGGCGAAAAAGTGGGTAGATTTGAATTTGGGGGTGCATTTTCCTTTCCTTCTTCATTCATAGGAGGTACATTTGAAGACTCAGGTGGTGGAACTCTCCCTTTCAAAATATTATCTTCCATAGTTCTTTTATATAGTGATTGTATCACTGTCACGCACTCCGCTAGCATTTCACATATTTCGGTCTTTCGAGTTTTCTGAAAATTTTTGAAGAACATTTTTAGATTTTTTCTTTTAGAGACACAAATTGGTAATGGCAATGTATAAATGTCAAAATCCGTATCACTTTGAAATTAGCTTACCTCATCAGACATAAGAAAAACGAGATCGTACATTGTTCTGATTTGGGCATTGATTTTAGAGCGACGCACTCTTTCCAAATACTTTTTCTTATCCTTGAAAGGAGAAAAATCGGTAAGTGTAATTATAAAATAACGCAAACGTGAATTTTATCATGAATCCTTAAACTAACCTTCCTGCTACTTTCACGTTCACTAAATTGAGCAGGCGTTTTCGAAGCTTGAGAGGTCGATGTAGAGGGCAAAATAGGCTGAAGCATTGGCTGTGATTTGTTTGTAGGAATTCCGGTAAACATTACTGGAAAAGCGGGCATTGAGTACTCTAACGTCTGAGTATTTGCTAATATCGGTAGAATTTGTTGGTTGGTAATAGATGAGAAGAGAGACACGTGACTACTAGAACCCACTCCCGTGTACTAAAGTGTGACAAAATTCTTGAATCCACGAGTTTATTATTGGCCACGTATAACCAATCAGATTCGCGGAAAGTCACATATCATGTTCAACCAATCAGAATGCTATCACTTGATTTGGACTTGCAGCTCCCTGCTTTCAAGTAAAAAAATTTTAAATTTCGACACAATTGAATTTTAGACAAAAATGTTATGAAACTTTAAATTCTTGACTTCATAATAATTGTACTATGCATTATTGATCAGCCTTTGCTTTTCAATTTGGAATTGGAAAAGGTGCAGTAATTGGTAGATTATATCGTTCATGTTCTACCAAGCAAGTTCACATCTCATTTCTCAATCCAGTTTAACTTATATTCGTTTTTCAGTTAAGCTGATTATTTACATTTTGATTTTTCGACATTCATTTGCTTATATACCATGATTCACAAATTTCAATAAGGCTTATATTTGAAACAATTTTATTCTTAATTCTGCGACCTCTGTCAGTTTAACCGCATGTCACTAACAGGACTTAGATATAATGTGCTTGTCAAGGGGCAGGTTACCGAAGCATCCAAGTTGGGAAGTTTAAAACTCGTGGTGTTAGAGAAAAAGTTCATTTCTGAAGAACTTAATGCTAATTACTTGAACCTCTCCGGTTCATTTATCTCAACGGACTAATTTGTCCTCTTTTACGTCATAGTCAACAAATATATTTTTCTTCTACATGGGCTGGGTACAAGAAAAAGGGTCTTAGTGTACGATGTCTTGTTTTTTTTAAATGAATGTCTATTGATGTATTTCGATCCAATATGCTGCATGTATCGTTACTGTGACTAAGCAATGGCAAACATTCTTAATTACTAGAAGAATTTCGAATTTTGGATGCTTTATCCTGATTGAATAAAAAACAGACGTGCGACAATTATTGCCATTTGATTGGTTGCTGACTTGCCTATTGGTGGTGTGCGCCAGTGGTAAGCACTTGAACCAAGTGACGCCATTAGTGAAATAGTATTTGGCTGTGAATTCGTTAAAGCCAAATTTGTAACAAATTCTGAATTTGCAGAAATGTGCGAGGGACTTACAGAGAGGAGACTTTTCCGCCTTAATTAGAATACGAGAAATTATACTTAGTGCCTGCCCTATGTCTAGCGAACGATAAGTAATTCAGTCGTAAGCAGAATTGCATGAAGAAAGTTGACCTGTCTTAATTCAGGCAAACAGCAGCTTATGGACTCGCATGATTATATCTAATATAAATTTTCTTAATATCACAAAACTGCATATCTTTTACCATGGTAAATGAGGAAAATGTTAAGTAACCTCCTGTCTTTCATTTCTTATCACTGGCGGAGATGATTTATAAAGTCACATTGGTGCAGTGAATTGACCATGATATTAAAATTAAATGTCGAATTCATCCCATTTTACTAATTCATTTTTTGACGAATTTCAACATCGTAATCGGACCTGTCGACCTGTTAGAATAATAAACAAGTTTATCTCCCTTTGCCCTCATCCATAGGTCTCTTCTCTCTCCCAAAAGTGATTCATCTTAGTGTAAACAATATAAGTTGCACCTGTATGAGAATGTACATGTGCAAACTTCAGGTCAAATGTGTTAAAATTCAGACCTCGTGATAAACAACCGCATTGAGTCAAAAGATGCCTATGTCAAAAGGAAGGTTTGCAAATTAATTAAAAACGGAGTGTGATTTCTCACTTAAATGAAGCTAATTCAATTTGAAATTTCGATTGATAGGGGTATGGCAGTGTTTCTATCAGCTTTCAGTATCCTACGATCATTGCATCCTTCTAAAAGCATGCATTAGGAAGTAAAAGTAATTTTCAATACCAGAAAGGGGTATTTGTATCATTTTACATTACAATTTACCAACAGGACATGTTATTAGTGTATTTAATTGCAAAGAAAATAAATGACATTTGAGATGCCCACAATCAGACCTACACCGAATTCGGCGGTAATTGCCATTCAAAATTCAGGGCCGCAGGAGACCCACGAGGTTGATGAAACTTCAGACGAATGTCAGTGCTCAAATTTTGGATTTCGAACTCTCACCGTGTCTCATTTATACTTACTTAATTAGCTCAGTTAGTTTCAATTTATGAAAGTACTTTTCAGTTACATCATTAGAATACTGGCGAATTCCGACCCTTTTGCTTATTTAAGAAAATTTTTACACCACTTCGTAGCCTTCCTATTGAAATGCGGGGTTGAGTGGACACATCGAGAGTTATTTGATTATTCACACGTTCAATTTACTCTCTCAAACAAAATGAAGGAACAATGATACCAAAATTCGCCATCTCTAAATCTCCGATTGTATCTACACTCGAAGTTACTTTGTTACTAGGCCACAGCAGGGAAAACACTATACCTGATTAACAGATGGTCACGCCTTGAGGGAAGGAGGAGGAGG